TCGTTGGAACGATAAGAGTTAGGGAAAATTAGATTGGGTACCACTTTTCAGATAAAGTTTAGGTCCAATACCACATTTGGGAAAAGCTTTTGAAATGTACCACATTTCAATGCTATATGCCTAAAACCGGACGAAATTGCCCTTGATGGAGAGAGAAGTGTGTGTCAGAGAAAGGGACACCTGACGAAATTTCTGCCGTCCTTTTTCTTTCTCCTGCGCATTGGTAACCGTTTTCGTCCCTCTGGCTGGTAAAACAAAGTTGTCCCCGAGTAAATCCAGATATTCGTCTTCGGCTCTCTAGTAGAATAAAATAAAGATCAAGTTGTCCCCGAGTTAATCCAGATATCTGGCTGGTAAAACCACATCATCTGGCGATGGATAATTAAGAGATGTTGTCCCCGAGTAAATCCAGATCTCTGCAGGCTGGTAAAATCATATCATTTGAGATTCATGATAATAGGGCAAGCTGATGAAATCGGGGACAAGATCTAGACGCAACAGAGAATTTTCAATCGGGGACAAGATCTGGAGACAAAACGGCGTCTGACTGTAGCTCCTTCCTCTGACACATTCCTGACGCATGCAGAAGGGTAAAATCGTCCAACTTCTACCACACAAACACCAAAAATGGTATGGATGCTAAATCGATTTGCAATGTGGTACATTTGCTAGGAATTTCTAAAATTGTGGTACATTTGGCCAAATTCCCCGAGAGTTAGAGAGGAAAATGGGGGAGTTGATGATGTAGCAACCAAATCTGCTTACATCTACTTTAAACTGGGCTTTTTGTCTTGTTTTGCTTCGTTTGGGCTTTTATTTGCTTAGAAGAGTAAGACTTTTATTTATTTTCTATTTCTACTTAAGACTAAAGTTTGATTATGTTTGAAACGTCTATTAGGATTTGTAGAACTGGATGCATGTTCAAATTACATTTTTACACAAACATTCTAAATTTTTCAATAGCATGAGACAATGTTAAATCAAAATCTATTTTAATACATGTCAGAATTAATTTGAAGTGTTGTACAAACACCACGTATCATTGCAGTATGAAATTCATCCACTTTTGTAGTACTCAGAAAAACGAATCTTCTTTTTTTTTTTTTTTGTGCACAATAGAAAAACGAATCAAAAGTGTTAATTGAGACCAAATTTCATAAAACACACACAAGAAGTAAGACCAAAGTTCATAAATCACACAACAAGTAAGACCAAATTTCATAAATCACACAACTTGTGAGAACTTTATTTAGTCGAAATGTTCCCACACATTTTACACGTTCTTTACATATCCATATATCCCCAACATGCATAATCAAATAGAACTCACAACACCATCGTCATTCTCCACAACACTAATTCGTGGATTCACAACCCTACAGTTCTGTCTTATCTCTCCTTGAGTTCCAGTCAATGGTCTAAGATTTCCCATCCTGATCATTGCGTCGACGAATGCTCCAAAGAACGCGAACGTGTTGCTGCTGTATTGGTTTACTAGTGTAGTCGTGTCGGCTCCTGGAGTCGAGAAGAGCACTTGGTCACTCTGAATCAGACCTTTCCCATTACGAAGATTGGTGTAATATTGGCGATCGAAAGCATTTGGAGTCACGGGATCAAAGTTGACAAGAACGGTACCGTTTCCGTTTTGAGGACACAATTGACGAAGTTCGACGAGGTAAGTTGGGTTCAGACTTGGGTCTGGTCTGTTGGTACCATTGAAGTTGTAAAGACGAGGTGTCACGAATTGGCATTGTGCTCTTCCAAATGTGTGACCACCTACCATTTTGACAAATGAAGGATTAGATACAGTGTATGTTTTATTTAAAGATGAGTCATGTTTTTTTCATTTTACCAAGTTCTTTTATAATTCAAAATCACGTGGTAGTAGATATTTATTTGAGATGTTTTTTTACAAGTCTTTTTTTTTCAAAATCAAGAAAATGGGTTTTCTTACCTCATGTTAACTAATTCATATGCCTCAAAAACACCTTCTAAATACTAAATAACTTGTACTAAGATTCGAAATTGAAACCTTGTTGAAAAATAAGTGAACCCATTTCAGTTTACCAAATATTATTATAAATATATTTGTAGAAATTAGGTCTTCAATGTTGTTTTTATATACTATATATTAAAAATCAAAAATACAAGTTATATATATATATATCTAAATAAGGAGAAAACTATGCAATCAAAAAAATTCAAATGATATTTTTGTTGTGGTTTATTTGATCAATATAAGTCCATTCAGTTTATTTTAACAAATTAATATTTCAGTATAGAACTTTATCAAAGCCAACCAAATCATTTGTAAGAACTAAGAAAGTATAAACTAAATATAAATAATTGAAGTTGATCATTTTCTAATAAAATAATAAATTTCTGAATCAACTTGTAATTAGATAGCTATCAATATGTAAAATGAATCGTATCTAGCTAGATCAACAACACTTATCTAGTTATCTTAGATGATATAAATTGAAGCAACATGAAAAAATTACCGGAAAGAGCGACTAGATCCGAAGCCCGGTTTAGGCCAACGTCAGCAAAAGCTGCTTTAAGTTGAGTAAGAGTGGAAAACGGAGAGGGAAGAGCTGTATTAGCCAGGTTGAAGAAAGCTTCTACGCTGTCTCTTCTCCCCAAGGGAACCGGCCACCATGGACCCCCAGACTATATAACATATAAAGTATTGATGTCAAATTTATAATATATTTGGATTAACTTCACCCGATCGATATCTTTAGTCATTTAGGTATATATATATGTACATACCAAAAGCACTGATATTTGAGAGGCGATGGTGAGCATATCTGCACAAGATACTGTTCTTGGGCAAGCTCTCTCAATGGCTGATTTCATTCTATCTATGACATTGAACCCTCTAACCGAATTTTTGTTTGGAGCAGCATCTTTCTCGGTCCGGAATGATGTGGAATTGTCAAGCAAGATGGATGCATCACAACCCTACAAAAACCATATATATCACATAATATGAAGACATTATTTATTATGTAAAAGTAGACGTCGTGGATTTAAAAAAATAAGAAAAAGATACACTGAGTAAGTCCTTACACGAACAAAGCAGTCGTGGAAGTGAAGACGAAGGATGCTCGCGGCAATACGAGGATCAGTCCGCAGTTCATCGACGATGGTATCCCCAATGATTCTGAAAACAGATGGGCAAGTCCTGAAGTAGAAGTCAGGCCTCAACTGAGCATTAGAGTTTGATGCTTGAAGCAGAAGGCAACCCAATATTAGGGCTCCCATTGCACTGCAAGAAAATAAAGGCGAAAAACCCATAATTTGAGGAGGATAAACAAAAGATTATTTGAGTTGTGAGTGTGGTGAATTAGCTAAGGCGTAGAATGAACATTATATAGAGAAGATTGAGTCTTTCTTTTATAGTATTATAGACTATTAGGTATTGTGATTTAAAAAACATAATACTATTAGGTCTTGTTTTAAGGTCATGTATTTAACTAGAGTGGTTGAAGGATAAATAATAATTAGAATTTAAAATAAACTAAACTATTCTTTGGACGTCCTTTATATTCTTTGCACAGAATTAAACTTTAGTGTTTGGTTGTATTTGTCGGACGCTGTGACAATTCAAGTAAAGATTGAATTATTGATTATTTTCACTTCAATTACCACTTTTTATAACAGACTCCATAAAAAAATTATTACTACAAATTGATGTATCTATAAAGAGGTCGGTTCTCAATTCCGCTTATATATTCTTATTTATTTCTAGATTTATTTCAAGTTTGATAAATTATATATAAACGAGACAAATTTCAACAGTGGTACGAAAAATGAAAATTGTACGAAATTGAAATCAAATTTGGATTATGTAGGGTCTGTAAAGATATGGTGGTTGATTCATGTTAAACGTAAGTTATGTCTATGTAGAAAATTATAATATTATCATGTCGTGTGATAACTATGTTTTTATTAGCTAGTGGCGTGTTCTTCTTAGTATCTGAAATTTTGAGAGGATGGATTTGTATATATCTTTGAATAAGATGGACAACTTAGAACAAAAAAAAGATCAAAATCGACGAACGCTAATGTATTCTCTGTCCAATATTTGTGTTATATCGACCTACGTAGTACGTACATTGGTTGTCTCCATAGAGCCTTTGACAGTTTGACCTGATACTTTTTGTAGAGCGTTAAAACATGTAATGTGATGTGATTATAAAGTTTGGTTAAAAATATGTGCTAAGATTGTTTTCCAATATTTACTAATATTTTGTGCTTTTATTAGATATTTAGATCAGACTCCAAATTAATGTGCTGGCAGGGCTAGCTATGTTTAATTATATATTGAGGAGTTTTATAAACATGCATGTAATAGAAGGATTAAGTGTAACATAGATCAGTGAATCAATGAGTTGGTTGTGGTTTCGAAGAAATATTTTTAACTTTTTTTACACGGACTACATAATTGGATACAAGACAAATGAATTTTTTCTCGTAGAACATTCCTAAAGGATTGTCTTTAATAATTAGCAAACATTTTCAAACTATTTTCCTAATATTTAACGACAAATAGAAATCCTTGTGTTTTTGTCCTTCTCTTTCCCGTGAATACCGCAAAATATAGCCTCAGGACAGAAACCACACTCAAAAATGGATAAATTATACAAGTCTTTCCCAAAATTATTTAAATTGAAATAACAAAGTTACCTAATACATATATCAATTTCATACGAGTCCACATGCTAGTTTTTATGATTAACAAACGTTAACCTAATCTGATACTTTAGCTCCTTGTCTTTTCTTCTCATTTATAAATAACGAAAGCGGACAAAAACTCGGACATTTTATTTCAACAATCTGCTTGAATATATAGTATAAATTTCCACGTTATGTTAAATCAAAAGTCACTTTAATACTTGTCAGAATTTGAAGTGTTATAAACACCACGTATATTTGCATTATGTGTACAGTAATCAGAAGATCGAATCATAATAAGTGTAATTAAGACCTGCAGATTATCATAAATCTCATAACTCGTGTGAGAACTTTTATTTAGTCGAAATTGTTCTCACGCATTTTATACTTTCTTACATATCCCAACATACATAATCAAATAGAACTCACAACACCATCGTCGTGCTCCACAACCCTAATTCGTGGATTCACAACCCTACAATTCTGTCTTATCTCTCCTTGAGTTCCAGTCAAAGGTCTAAGATTTCCCATCCTAATCATTGCGTCAACGAATGCTCGAAAGAACACAGACATGTCGCTGCTGTATAGGTTTACTAGTGGGATCGTATCGGCTCCTGGAGTTGAAAAGAGTTCTTGGTCACTCTGAATAAGACCTTCCCCATTACGAAGATTGGTATAGTATTGACTATCGAAAGCATCTGGAGTCACGACATCGAAGTTGACCAGAACGGTACCGTTTCCGTTTTGAGGGCACAAGCGACGGAGTTCGACGAGGTAAGTTGGGTTCAGACTTGGGTCTGGACTGTTGGTTCCGTTGAAGTTGTAGAGACGAGGTGTCACGAATTGGCATTGTGCTCTTCCAAATGTGTGACCACCTACCATTTTGACAAAACATAAAGGCTTAGATACATGGAATGTTAAGTTGTCGTTTACCAACGCATGAAATTCGTATTAGATTAGATTTTTTTTCCTCTTTTTTCATTTTATATTCGGTCATGTTTTTTCTGAACAGCTATTTGGTCATGTATTTCAAGCAAATGGAGTTTCTTACCTCTAACTCATGCTAATTAATTCATATGCCTTGAAAAACTTTTTAAAAACTAAATATATTGTGCTAAGATTCGAACTTAAACATTGTAGATAAATAACACCCCATTTTATTTTATGAACTATTACTATAAATTTATTTGACAAAGCTACTTCAATTGTTATGTTCATATACTATTTAAAATTTTTAGTTTTTATAAAGAAAAAATATGTTATCAATATCACATCTTAGATGATAAAACATGCATGAAAATTTTACCAGAAAGAGCGACTAGATCCGAGGCGCGGTCTAGACCAACATCAGCAAAAGCTTTTTTAAGTTGAGTAAGAGTGAAAAATGGAGAGGGAAGAGCTGTATTAGCCAGAGCGAAGAAAGCTTCTACACTGTCTCTCCTCCCCAACGGAACCGGCCACCATGGACCTCCGGACTATATAAAACATTGACGTCAAATTCATAACCTTTTTGGATTAGTTTCATACGAGATAAGTCATGTAAGTATATTTATATACCAAAAGCACGGATATTTGAGAGGCGATGGTGAGAATATCTGCACAAGATACTGTTCTTGGGCAAGCTCTCTCAAGTTCTACTTTCATTCTATCTATGACATTAAACCCTCGAGCCGAATTTGCGTTTGGAGCAGCATCTTTCTCGGTCCGGAATGATGTGGAATTGTCAAGCAAGATCGATGCATCACAACCCTACAAAATCATATTTATTACATTAGATGACGATATTATTTATTAATTAGAAATGGCTTTTAATCTCGATTATATATGTAAATGGTATGCGAAAGTAGACGTCGTGGAATTTGTTTTGTAAAAGATAAGTTGAGTAAGTCCTTACACGAACAAAACAGTCATGGAAGTGAAGACGAAGGAGGCTCGCGGCAATACGAGGATCAGTCTGCAATTCGTCAACGATGATATTCCCAATGATATCAAAAACAGATGGGCAAGTCCCGAAGTAGAAATCAGGCCTCAACTGAGCATTAGAGTTTGATGCTTGAAGCAGAAGGCAACCCAAAATTAGGGCTCCCATAGCACTGCAAGAAAATGAAGGAGAAAACCCCATATTTTCAGGAGGAAGACAAAAGATGATTTGAGTTGCGACTGTGGATAATGGTAAATTAGCTAAAGCGTAGAAGGAACATTATATAGAGAAGCTTGAGTCTTCTCTTCTATAGTATTTTAGATTATTAGGTGTTGATGATTTTTTTATTTTTCTTTTTAACACTATTAGGTATTGTTTTAAGGCCATGTATTTTACTAGAGTGGTTCAAGGATAAATAATAATTAGTTAAGAAAAAAATTTAACCGATTCTTTTGACAATGCTATCAATTCTGTGCACATAAGTTAACGTATTAGTGTTTGGTTCTATTTGTCGCGCGCTTTGATTAAACAAGTAAGATAGATTATCATTTTCACTTCAATTAAATATGGTATTGTTTATAACTAACTCCATACATTTTATTGCAGATGTAGACTTTTTACTTACTACAAATCGACGTATAAGTTCTATAAAGAGATATATGGTACTCAATTTCGCCTATACATCCTTTTTCTAGATTTATTTCAAGACATACATGATTCCTTCTGAGAATTGAATTCACATTATTGAGTATGATAAATAATTATAAACAACACAAATTTCACAGTAGTAAGAAAGAAAATTGTACGATATTGCAATCAAATTTGGATTGTGTAGGATCGCTAAAGATATGGTTGTTGATTCATGTTAAACGTAAGATATGTCTATGTAGAAATTATAATATCATCATGTTTTTATCAGTGACGTGTTCTTGTTGATCTCTGAATTGTTGAGAGGATATTTGTATCCTTGAAATAGATTAAAAATAACAAAAAGATTTAAGTCGGCAAATGTAGCCTCAGAACTCAGAAGCCACCTTAACAAATCGATAAATTATACAAATTTTGCCCCAAAAATCTAATCTGAAATTACAAAGTCACCTAATAAATATATCAATTTCATACGAGTCCATAAGCTAGACTTTTTGGTTAACCTAATCTAATACTTTTGCTCCTTGTCTTTTCTTCTCATTAACAAACAACCAAAGTGGACAAAAATGGCTGAAAGTATCACCCAAATTGAATTGAAAAATACTTGTTTCATATAGTATAGTAATGCACAGAATGGGGAAAGAAAAAACATTCGAATGCATTAGTCATTCCTGAAAACAAGATGAAAGCGAAGACAAAAGAGAAAGAAACAAAATGAAAATATTAGTCTAATGGTTGGACAAAAAGATGAAAAATCAGACAAGAAGATGGACAAATAATTGACGACACTCTACATAGCTCACTTTATTATCACCTTTTAGGTGAGAAAGATCAAAGATTAGTCTTGTAGATTAAAAAAACCTGTGTCCGGCACACATTGTTATCAAGACTTATTTGTCTCACACTCACCTAAAAGATGACAAATCTGATGTTTTGGGTTTCTTACCCAGTTGTTTTGCTTGAATCCTTCATCATTTTATTCTTATGTGCTACCCATCGCTTCTAACATAGCTTCTTCCATGGCAAGAAAGATTGGAACGCGCGAACATAATTTCTGTTCGTGATGAAAAACAGTCACATGGTACAGTTTTACCAAATTCAGTCCACATGAAAACACTTAAATTGAATAGGCAGCTGATGATAACATTTTAAAATCCAATCATCGTATAATTAAAACACAAGTTCAACACCAAGTATATTAATTTTGAACGCTACAATAATCATGATTCAAAGTTTTTGAAAGCCTCCCCCGTCTACAATCAAATCACTTGGTACACATACTCTGCTCATTCAAAATCCTCAAACATACTAGCTTAAAAACTAATCATAGCCAACTATTCAACTAAGTTAGTCTGAGAAAGGCCTAAGGGACTACTAGCCAAATAAATGGAAAGTAATTGATAAGTTTTCTTTGTTATTATGTAAGTATACCGATTCAGGCTGATTAATCAAACACATAAGATTATAAAATTATTGTATTTTTGCTGATCAATTTCTAACCAATCTGATCAATATCAAAACGTTCAGATGGTTTTAGCCGTTTAGAAGTTATTTTTTTTTTTTTTTTTTGTATCTGGAAGTTCAAATCCGAAGGTCTACATCTCCTAGAGGCGGAACCCATTTCAAATTAAATTCATTTTTTTCGGAGAAAAGATTTTTTCTAATAAACGTCAAACCCAATATCTCTATCTGAAAAATGTACAACTAGACCAACACAACGTTGGTAGTTTAGAGGTTATTTCTTTAATGCCAATTATGATCAAAGAGGGAAGAGACGCGAAATTTTTGCTAATTTCAAATTTAAATGGAGACTAAAAAACAGGACTTTCTAACACTATTCACGAGACGACCGTGGCGCGTGTTCCGACACGTCTTTATCAAACCAGTTTCAATTCACAACACCAAGACTTTTGGTTCCATCCTCATTTCTCTCTCTCTGTTCCACTTCATTTTCTTCTTCTCCCTTCTGCTTCTCTTTCGTCCGTAGCTTTCAATGACCGATATTCCAGAACCGGGCTCTGTGATAGAGCCGGTGACTTTAAACCCTGACTCGGATCTGTCGAATGGCCGAACCGAGATAGACACTTCTGCTCCGTTCGAGTCAGTGAGAGAAGCAGCCACTCGTTTCGGCGGTTTTGGTTTCTGGAGACCTTCTCACAATAAACTCCCAGAAGCTTCTCAGGTTTCTCTCCCTGTCTCTCCTTCACTTGCAGTCTTTTCTTTAAATTCTGTCTAAAAAATGTGATTTTTAGGGTTTTACTGTTGTTAGCTGATTAAGCGTGCTTGACATTGTTGTTGTCTGAAACAACAAAATGATATCATCAAACTTAGAAATTGATGTTTACTGATGTCTGTTTCATGTCCTAAACGACATTATGATGATGATGATGCTTGATTTCCCTTTCATGTTTAGCAATAATGACGAAGAAAACTTAACCACATTTCAAGGAATTGTTCATTACCTACTATTTTGGTACCTGATTTTAAGCGACATCGCTCAAATTCATCACATTAGTGAAGATTTTGTGCTCTGTCTGTGTCAGAGTTGTTAAAATTAGGATATGTAAGGTAAAGTTTCTGTCTCTTTGATATTGCTGGCAGGAAAAAGTTGAAGAAACTGATATCATTGTACTCAAAGCACAAGCTTCTGAGCTACAGAAAGATCTAATTGTGAAAGAACGTG